ACCCTCAGCTGTAAACATTAACGTTGATCAATAACATTTATAGACCTCAGTTAGTGTTTGTAAATTTAGCAAGTGCTAATCCACGAATACATTTTTTTAATTGTCAAAAGCCCTAAAGCACTAAACAGGAAATTAGTTCCCCTATTAGGGCTTTAGGGGAACTGTGCCCACCACTGGTTATTTCCTACAACGGTGTATTAGGGCCACTTGAAAAAATAAAAAATAAAAAAGAAGGAGCAAATCTCTGAGTAAAAACAAGAAAATTCTCTGAGCTCTGAGAGTCGCAGATCTGCAAGAAAAAACTCAGAATTTCTGAGATTAATTTTAGAAGTTTTCGAGAAACAAAAATAATTTCTCTTATGTTAAAGAGTCACAAATTTGCGAGAAAACCCCCCGAAATTTCCATAATTAAAGGCAGAAATTTGCGACATTTAAACTAAATATTTTCTGACATTGTAAAGTCAGAGATTTACAAGAAAAAACATAAATTTATGAGAGAAAAAAAATGAAGTTTTCAGGAATGACTAAAGGGTGATTCCACCTGTTTCACTACCTTGAGCATCTTTAATCTGCTCTAGTTAGTGTCTACTTGACAATCAGAAATACGTCGTGTAAAATCTATAAACCAGCCCAATCATTTGTAAATCTGATAAACTCATATTTTWTGTTATAGTAAACATTAAATGTTGAAACTAGGAAAGGGTACCATCTTTAAAATCAGGTGTTGTGAATTTCATAGCAACACAATTAAAAAAGTTATGGCAGAGTCATATTTATCAAGTATCCTCCATTCTTGTAACACCATGTCTGTAAACATCTGGGACCAGAGGAAACTATAGCTTTTGGAGTTTTTGGAGGGGAATATGCTTTCTTTTCTGATGTGAAATTCAAGCAGCACAACAGTCCAMCCTGGGACTTTTAGTCACTTTAAATCAATGCATAAAAATTAGTAGTCTCAGTATTCTCGTTAGGTAAATTGTACTTTATTCAATCATGTAAATAAAAGAATCATGCATGGCTTGATTAGCATTTACTAAATTTGTTTGTGCAAATTCAAAGGTCTGCCAATTCCCTTTTTTTCAGTGGAACAAAGGGTGGGCACCAAAACATACAGATGTCAATAAGGATGATAATCAGAGAAGCACCCAAGATCAACCTGATGGAGCTGGGCAGCTCTCCTGCAGAAATGACAGTGTCTGTCCACAGGACCAGACTCACAGAGCTGAGCTTCATGGAGGAGTGGCAGGGAAAAACAGGACTGCTTACATTTTCTTTTTCTTCAAACGTGTAGTAAAAGAAGGTTCTACCAGACACCATGACCAGTTTAT